GGCCGTGGAGGTGGGGGGGTTGACTGCAGGCTGTGGTGATGAGTTCACAGAGTCTGCAGCAGCAGAAAGAGCATGGAGGGCAGGATGAGGACAGGCTGATAGCTCTCTGAGGCTTGTTTAAAAATAAAGCAAAGTTTTTGAAGAAAAAAAAACCAATAAGATTGCCCTGTATGTCTGTATCCATGCAAAATGGGGGAAATCTCTATAATTTACAGACAATCTGTACAACTTGAGATGATGAAACGGCAACAAAATCCACCAATAATACAAAGAAACGCAGAATAATATGCTGCTGCACCACAGACGGGTGTCTCTCCAACTGCAGCCACAGCTGTGCCACATACATTTAGTTATACAGCATGAATACAGACATAATAAACTGACAACTAAATAAAACATTTAAATAAAATATATTTTACGTAACAAAACTTTTTATTATCGGTTTACAAACGCCATCGTCATTTTTTTCAGGTGAAGGATGTTGTAAAAAGGTCCTTCACTTAACTAAAATGTAAAAAGAAAATATCATGATCGGTTTTAGCCTCTAGTCTTTCTGTTGTAACAGAGGAAACACCATATTTTCTTTTTACATTTTACTGCTTAAAACACCAGAGGTTAAGATGGACACAAAACAGAGCGAAGCTGTTGGAGGAATCGGATCTCGACAGGTGAACGAAACTCATCACAACACTGAACTAACGCTGTGTTAATCGGTCAAACACAAGCTCTGGGTTCTATCTAAAACTTTGCTCAGACATTTATTCAATGGAAAATGTAGCAGACAATCAGTGTCACACTGCAGACAAAAGTGACCAAAAGCAGACTTTTTWAAAAATATTTTTTGCCCATATGTGACATTTATCTGATGTTCCTTATAACCATCTGAATGTGCTGAATCTGATATATTTCATATCCGACCAACAACCTATTAGGGGTGTAAATCACCAGCTTTATCACGATACGATATTACATCGATATGTTTGGATGACGATTTAATATTTCCCAATATCACAAAGTCTGTCACGATACGATTTTGATTCAATTCACGCCTGCGATCGATATAATGAAATATCATATGCCCATCTAACACAATGACTGTGTTAGATGGGCATATGAAATCGATTCACATCGAGCATATGATGACGATATAGATCAATATTTTCATTTTAACTCAGTATAACTGAATCATGAACCATTCAAATCGTTATATCGATATATATCGATATATATCGATATATTGTTACACCCCTACGACCTATGTGGTCTCTGTTTTTTAAGCTTTTTTTTGTCTGAATTGTCATGTCTCATTTCATCTGACTTCTATGTCATTGACCACTCTAGATATTGACAACATTGATACCAATGTCAAGCAGTTTAATGCTTGGAACTCCTCACATCTTCAGCTACAGAAGAGATGTTCACAAATTCTCATAATAGACATGATTGCCTATGTTGACTATTTGTAGCTCCTTGTTGGCTCCTACATCCTAAATTTTGTTTTCTGCCTAATTTAAATTCTTCAAACAAGATGTGTGGAGATGCTATTATGTATTATCATTTCCCCCTCAGACAGAAGTCTCAGCATTTGTGATTGTGTTGATAAGCTGTCTGAGCTGAGCCGGTGTTTCCCAGCCTACTCCTTTAAAGTGAATCTAATCTGCCTGACCCCTTCAAGTTCAACTGTCACTTTACTAATTATAGGCTCAGGCATAGCTGGCCCGTTGTGCCACTGGGTGCACGACACCACCAGCCCAACCAGCTGCTGTTTTAGGAAAAGAAATTGTGGCAAGATAACCTTCAAAACACATCTTTCCCTTTATTCCTTTTAGCTCAATGAGATTTCAAATAAAGCGTATAATTTTGTATTTACCATTTGCATATTTCATAGTTTTAGAAAAATAATATTTTTTTAATGGCTCATCCAGCTGTGATGTTTATCTTGAACATGTCGACTCAGTTTTAAAATCTTACCACAGGGCCTAGTTTTAATTTTTCAGGCTAAAAGTGGAAACCAGTCCTTCGAGAGTATTGTGATTTCAGCAGGTTTTGTTTACAGTGGTGGTAACCTGTGCACCTTGTTGTCTTTTCTCACCCACAGAGCGGAGAAGACAGAAGTCCTCAGCGATGACCTCCTACAGGTAAATCATTAATCTGACTCTGCGGGTTTCCAAACAGTGTTTAAAATAGCTACAGTGTGTTTGTCAGGCAGCTGCTGCCAATCCTGGTTGGTAAAAAAACATTTCTCCCTTTTTGAATGAGCTGATTTTTGAATTAACTTGTCTCAAATCCTAGAGGGAGTACAACTACCTGATACTTTGCAGTAAACAAACAGAAGCAATTTTATTTGCACAACAGATACAATATTAAAAGAAGGTGAGTCTCTATGTGTGTTAGCTCATGTGACTATCAAATGTTTGCTACACTAAGCTTTTTAAAATTAGTGCCTGCATCTCCTAACATCAGCAGAATTGTCCTGTTAGAAGTATAGACCATTTTAAAGTTTTTTTTCCAAAGCACGAAACAACAAAAATCCAAAGAGTTTTAAACTTTGTTAAAATCTGTATCCATTGAACTTTCGCTTTTTCTTCAAGGTACAACATAGATGAGGTTTCATTACTAAAGTTTTAGAATAGTTATTTTGTATAAATAAATTGCAGCATTATCCCTATAAAAATTAATTTGAACTATTTTTGAATGCCTTTCTTTTCCTTTGATTTGACTTGTTCAAATATTGCAGTATCTGAAAAGTTTATCAGATGCAGAATAATTGAAAGTCGTATAGATTTTAAGATTCTTCTAAATAGTTTGGCTCTTGATTTTACTGAACTTCTTAACTTTTATAACCACAGCAGAGCACTAAGATAGTCTAGAGACAGATGCTCTTAAATTAAAACTCAGAGGGGGTTGGGCCCCCAGACTCTGGAGCAACCTGCCCCATGAAATTCATACTACAGAAGTTTTACAGTCTTTTAAATCCTGCCTGAAAACTCACATTTTTACATTGGCTTTTAATTCAAGCTCAGTTTGAGATCATCCCAGATGTTTTAAGAACTTTCTCCTCATTTTATTGAATTATTGGCGATTATTTTTTTCTGATCAGACAAAACAGATAAAAAGCTTAATCTAGACATTACAAACCCTTAATACTTTGTTTCTCAGCTGTATGACTGGGTAACATTACAGGAGACTTAATAGCCCACTGCTGCAGTTTTAATAGATATACAGTATTAAGCTGCTTATAAACACAATGGATGATGATCATATTGATTTGGCTGGGCTAGGCCCTTTGTAAGGAGTGATTATTATTATAATTACGTTTAAGCTAGTGAATTTTCCCCTAAAGGTTAGTCTACTTCATGCCCACTTCAGCCTATATTAGACTATTTGGCTGTGAACAGAAAGGTGATTCGTATTGTAACCACAATAGACCCACCACATGAATAGTGAACTAAAGCAGCTAAGCCCTAACCCATTGTCTACACTTCCATAGATGGCCATACTTTATTTTTTAAAGAGAATAGACCCACAACCACATTCAGGTCTAAAAATAAGGGTAATGCACTTCTAAGTATGATTTTCAAATAAAGTTCAGATTAAAGACTAGTTTTAGGTGTTTTATGTTTATAATACACTGATTAAACTGGTTGTTTTATTAATCTTATGATTTTAGTAAAATGCTCTTTAAATAACTAGTAAATAGTTTTGAGTAGATAAAAAAAATGGCACCCCCTGGACACCCTTAGGACTGCTTCACTCCACGTCTGCTTGTTAACATGAACATGGGTCTCTCATAGATGTTGGCAGGTTTGATGTAGGCTTCTGAGATTCTGTTTTAAATTAAATATGTAATTAACTGTTTTAGTTGGGCAAAACTACTTTATTTTGTATGTGAATGTATGTAAATAAGCAGTGAAGTTTAGAAAATTGTACCAATGAAAATCTTCCCTTGGGCCCTAGCCCTGCTCGGGACCTTAAAGGTCAGATCCCAGAGTTGCCCCTCTAGTATAACTATCGGTACTCGATAATAAGTCAGACAGAAAATCTAAGAATTCAGATAAAAACTGAGAATAAGAGCCTGGTGGACAATATATATCAAGAAAAAACACTGATTCTGATTTCCATTTTGGATGAGAACGACAGGTACAAATACTCAAAATAATTAAAAACTAATTATTGGTTCAGTATTAATCAATAATCATGACTGATAAACAGCAGCCGCTCATCCACCTTGACCTGTTCTAGCAACACACAATTAGCAGTAGAGTAGATTAATTTATACTAACAAAATCCTCCTTTTTTTAACCAAGTTTCAGTAAGACAGAATAAATCAATATGATGATCAGTTAACAGATCATTAACTAAAAGAGACTTGGAGGAAAGAGATCCGATGATCAATAATCCACACCTAATGATTTTAGTATTTTGTTTTGGTAAAATAGCAAATTTTATTTTTTATAAGATTTTTGGGATTTATTTTCTAGAGTTGTTTTTTTGTTTATTTAATTTTGTCCGTGGGTGGGCTGACACAGTTTCAATGGGGGTTTGGATGAGTTGAAGCAGCAGGGAGGTGTGTAAGACTACAACTCTGCTTCCTGGTCACCGAACTGTCACCCAGCTGGCCTGGGGTCCCATCTGCACGGGGTCTGCTGGAGGACCACTAACGGGAGCAGGAGCTAGTCTCGGTGGCTCCATGCTGGCTGAGGGGCCTTGGCTACTAGCTATTGGTTTTTCATCAACGCAGAGCCGAACTTCCAGTTAGGACAGCCTCGCCTCCAAACCTACCATAAAACTACATTTATTACATGTATCACAGAGGAGTAACTAAACATTTGACACACAGTAAGTGAGGACCGAAGAAGCCAGGAGAGAAGCAGTAGCCATGCAAAACTAATGCTAGAGAAAAGCGTTGAAAGATAAAGGGTGTCTCAAGCACAGTTCCAATATTAGGAAACAACTGTATTGAGAGTGTTTTTGTACTGTAAGTAGAACTGTGTAAAAGTTGGATAGTCCAGTAAATAAAAAGATTATTTGAGCAAACAAATTTCTAGAGCTACCAGCAGCAAAACAGGGAGTTACCACAAATGTCGGTACGTACCTCGAACAGTTGAATTTGCCTGACATACACAATTGTGCTGTTTCTGTCTTGAAATCATTTAACAGCAGTTTTCATTTTCTTCGTATATTCTTAAAAGAGTTTATGGCTTAGTCCCACCTGTTTAGTTTGGTGCAGGAACAACATCAGAGCCGTTTTAGCTGAAGGCAGTGATTGTGGTGTTGGAACCTTCAGTTCGCCTCATTATTGTGCTTTTCCACTTTGACTGTAGTCAGTGTGTCTGTTGGAGGTTTCTTAGACTGGTTTTTAATGTGGATTCTTTTAATTGTACAGAAATTAATTTATAACAGAACCAGGCTGTATTATTTTTCTCATTACTGAACAAACTGCATGTGTTCTCGGTTTTTTTTATTGATAAACCAGTCTCTCTATTTCTGTTCTTCTGAGTTTTTGAAAACATAATAAAAAACAAGGAGAGATGTTGTAACAGACCATACTACTAAAAGAATGTTTATTATCTGTAAATTTACTGCACTTAATAAAAACTCTTTTAGTGTGTTAAACTTTCCACTTGCTCGTTAGACATTATCCGTACAAATGTCTTAAAGTGGTTTTATAGCTCCTTGGCAGAATTAATTTTTTTATAATTAATGGCTTACTTCTTTCAGGCACCTTTGTTGGATTAGGAAAAATGTTTTCAAATTCCTCTAAAACAACAAAAAAATAGATTTAATGTTCATTAACAACAGACGTTTCCTTTAAAAACTAGAGGCTTTTTATCAGTTTTCATTCATACTTTGGCACTCAAAGGTTTTGGGGACTCAACAGTAAGGCAGAACGTAACTGCCGTTGTCTGTCTGCATACTTTCACATGTCTGTTAGCAAAATATCTCATGAACAGCTGAATTAGTTTTAATGAAACTTGCCCTGTGATGGACTTGCAACCTGTCCAGGGTGTACCCCACCCCTCGCACTGTGACTGCTGGATATGGACACCAGTGACTCCCGTGACCCTGAAAGGAAGAAACGGGTATAGATAATGGAGGGATAAAAGCACAAAATAATCATTGGTTGTGTTTCTGCAACTAATTACATTTTCAATCCAATTCAATATGGCTGCCACAGCCACTTGACCTTAAATTACACAGATATCTGACTTGGTCAGTTTTACAGATATTGAGCTATAATTTGGCATGATATTAACTGAGCCAGGACCACAATGCACTTTTTTAGTCGTTAAATGCAATGCGTTTGTGGTGTACTTGGAGTCTTTAGAAGTACAGACGAGAAGCTAAATTAAAATTAGTTTCTCCCRTTGCTGCGTAGATATCTTTATATTCGGTTTGGGTCATATTTTTCATCCCGTTCATTTTTCCCTTATTTTGTATGACATTTTCTGAACTATTATGTCACAGTATTTGAGAACGAACTGCCAATTAAGGTCTGGACATACCAACTACAATTTGGTGGTCTTCATTCTCCTCTGGCTCTGGGTCAGACACTGGCTCCAACTCGTAAGGCTGGATGGACAAGTTTTCCGTTGTTGACATCTTTTAATTAATTTGTAAATAATGTTTCTGCTCTGCTAGATAGTTGTAAGCCCCTCTATCAAACCAGAATGGACCGCTCTGAAAGCTGGGGGTGGGGGGTGAAGTGCCTTCTTTGCATTTAAAGAGACAGCCTCAAAACGAGTTGATCTGAGACACATCTCAGAACAGGTGTGAAAGAGGGGCTTGTGTTCCACTTTATATAAACCCCAACTGAATTTAAATGAAAAAAGAGGGATTTAAAGGCGTGAAATGTCTCATTTAATGAAATTTTCAGGACACATTTGTTGGATGTACATTCAGACTTGCTACAACTCTGTCATTTCTCAACTTAAGATGATCTTAGTCTGAAACTTTGGCATGAAAGTTTGTTGCATTTGTATTCTTTCAAGGAATGCTAGGTCTTTAAAAGGGGTTGACATAAGGGCCTTTAGGTTGTTCAAGACAACTTATTTTCGTTTCGGACAACCAGATCTTGCCTCCCAACAACCCTATAAATGGACCTAGATTCAAGTTTTCTGCCACAACGGATGTCTGT